CAGCACAACGAAAATAAACTAAACTTGGTTTATATCTGACCCAGATAGACTGCAGGTCATAACTTCTTACCTGAAGTTCAGTTCACCTGACACTCGGACCGGCAACCGCCTCGGGTCTCTCCTCCTCCTGTATATCCTGAGTTATTTTTACACAGTGACCAGCATCTAGCCAATCCACCACCTTTCATTGTTTATACCGTTACAAAAAAATTAAATAAAAATCACCGGCCCATAAAAATGAAATATCACATCAGGCATACCGGGCAAATAAATGCCCGGTATGCCTGATGGCCAGTCCAGCTATGGTCGTGTCACCAGTTAACCCTTCATGCCACAGCTGGCACGCGTGCCCAGGGTTGCCGACCCCTGGTGTAGGTAAACACATAATTTCTTATTTTTCCATTATCTCTTTACTGTCTGTGAGCAAGATGGGCAGACTGTGATCATAGGATCACAAGGGAAAGACATGGTCAGCAACAATGTTCTGGTAGGCTGTGGTGTTTAAATCATGCTCAGTAAGACAGGATGGATCCATGCTTTCATGTTGTTCAAAGTTTGACTCTACCATCAGGATATTGCAGCAGAAACTGAGACTCATCCAGCAAGGGAGTTTTTCTAATGTGTTTCCAATCTTTTTTTTTCTTTCGAATCCTCAGTTTCCTGTTCTTAGCTGACAGTGTGACACTGTGCGATCTTGGGTGTAGACCATCTGCTTCGTGGTTCAGTGAGTTCTACATTCAGAGATGCTCTTTTGCATACCTTTGATGTTGCTGATGTTTATGTTGTTCCTATTGTTTTCCTTTCAGCTTGAAGCAGACCTCTGACTTCAATAAGGCATTTTCATACAGATAACTGCTGTTCAGTAGATATTTTCTTATCAGACTTTTCTCTGTAAACTCTTGAGATGGTTAGGTGGGAAAATCCCATTAGATCAGCAGTTTCTGACATACTCAGATCAGCCTGTCTGGCATGTTTAAAGTCACTTAAGTCGCCTTTCTTTGCCATCCCAATGCTCAGTTTGAACATTTTAAATACAGCAGTTTGTCTTGACTATGGCTTGTGAGGTGCTTTAAGAAGTAGTTGAATAGGTGTACTTTTCAAAATGGCCAGTGAGTGTAACTAGTTTTGTCATCATATGTTACCAGTTGGGCTGTGTGTTAAAGAGAGACAAACAAAGTGAGCAGTAAAGACAGCACTGTTTGTTATGTTTTATATCTTTAGTTTCCTAAACTCTTGAATGATTGGAATATAAACATATTAATTTTGGGTCGCTTTACCTAATAAATGTTCATAAACTAACAGAGAGAGAGAGATAAAACAGGAGCGGGGGTTGTTTTTTTCAACATCCGTTTTTCAAGAAGCGAGTGTGTGGTTGTATCTTGTATCTTGCACTAATCAAGAATATGTGGTTTTTCCATTTGCCATTTGAGTCCATATGCCATAATACAATGTCAATTTTTTCTGCCTAAACAAAACAAAGATACATAGTTAACTGTTTCCGATAGCTTAACCACAGTACCAATACCTTTTTTCCTGAACAAAGAAAAAAAGCCCAGAAAAAGGTTAATAAACATGCTAAAAATACCCTCAAAGGTGTATTTCAGTTTAAAAGATGTTTTTTTCCATCATACTTTATATGGATCTAAAATATTTTTTTTGTTTGAGTTAGTAAAAGATCTTATTACTTATGTACTGAATTGTACAGAATTTTATTATTATCAATATTCAAGTTGTAGACATATAGCTTGAATTTTAAATATGATGGCTCTTTAAATTGTTGACTCACATAATTAATTAATCCAGTGTTAAAAAATTAGACACTATATTTAGTATCTTAGAATACCTGTTAGAAACTAGGTTATTACTGACATGTCATAGATGTAAAATATGTGTTTCAATTTAAGTTTTTTTTTTTTTAAAATAAATATTAATAAAACATTACAATTTGTAGTAACATAGACAGGATAGTCACCGAACTTATAAATTGTAACTCTTTTATCAGTAAAGTAGGTGAGCAGTCTGGGACAGCCCCATATAAAGAGCTTATGCAGGTGGCGTCTCTCTTTTGTCACATTCTTATGCTGTGTGTCACACAGGAAATAGTGGCATTTCTCAGCACCGAAGAACTGAATATGGCTATGCTCAAAGTCCTCATACTTATTTTGATTTTTAACCAACATGTTGCTGGTTTGAAATGCAAAAGAGGTAAAGTATGCCTTTTATCATTTTACTCACTCTGTATAATGCTGTAAAATTCAGTTTTTCACTTTCTGAATTTTATTTTGAAAGTATAGTAATTGCTGTAATTAAACTGTGTCCTTTCTTTGACCACTGTGAAATCCTTGAAGGTGAAAAAGTATCCCGCAGTGGAAATGGATGTGAACCCTGCAAACCAGGCTCTTATCAGGATCATGAAAATACTTCAAAATCTTGTAAAGCATGTACAACGTGTGACTCTAGTAAGTGTTGAAGCTTTTGTAACTTATTAGAAAAACAACTGCTATGTGAGCAGCTGATGATAAACCCGCTCTGTTAATGGAGACAAAACATGTAGTTCACACTCAAATTACGACACCAGGATTAAGAACATTCTTTGTTTAATTATTTATTGCAGATCATGGTAGTGTCATTAAACAGGCTTGTACCGGATTCACAAACACAAAATGTGAGTGTCGTAAAGACTTTGTTCCATGGGACAGTGATTCTTCCAGCTGCAAATGTGCCAAGGGATTTAAACGAATAGGAGGTACAAGACTGGATCATAATATTGGATCATTTACCATACACACTAAAGAAAATGTCTTTTTAAATCATCAATTTTTTTTTTTCCTGCTAGGAGAATGTAAACGATGTGAAGAAGGATTTTTCATTACATCTGAAAACTCAGACTGTAAAAAATGGAAAGAGTACGTATTCTAGTGTTTTAGTACTTTTAATGCAATATATGATACAATTTTGTTCCAACAGGGTCTGGAGTTGACGCTTGTTGTTAACAGCTTTGTCATTTATCTTTCATTCTAGATGTAAATCAGGGGTGAAAATCAGTGGAACTGCATCGTCAGATGCCATCTGTAATGAGCCAAACAGTAATACTCAAACCACTACACCTCCCACATCAAACACAATTAGTACTCTTCAAAGTTTAATAACTCAACGTCCACATGAGGGGGCCAAAACTCAGGGGATGGATACTGCTACTACTCCTCGAGTGGCCACTTCCACAAAGAAAGTGCTTCCAACTCCTCCTGTATATGCAGGCAACCACATTGGTAAGCGATCTTCCTATCGTGCAACCTCAGATCAAAAGTAAAGCTAAGTAAACTTAGCAGGTTTATTTTGTCTTACCAGGTATGGCCCTGCTTATTTTCGGAATTGTCGGACTAGTTGTACTAACTGTTGTGACCTGCAAGCTGCACATCACTGACTGCTGGCACAAGCAAAAAACAGTACAACGTATGTGGCAAGTGATTCACACTTCAGACAATAAGAAAGGTCTTGGTGGTTTCATGTCGAGAAGTTGAATGAGAAAGGTGACGCACCAAAATTTGAAGCAACAGGCAGCAACAGTTCACCTTCTTGCATCAAGATATATGCCCACACACCCCCCAGAAAACCCTTAACCATGTCAGAGATTTATTTCTTTATCATATTTTGCCACTATTAGAAAAATGGGTAATATTTCTTCACAGAGTGCTTCACACACTCTGAGATTTGTGCTGTTTCAAATGGGAAATAGTTATTGTCAACAATATTATTGAATTAATTAACTAATTGGTAGCTAATTAAGCTTTTTGAAATAAAATATATATTTTTTGTTTACAGCAATGGACTCCTTGTGCCGCAC